CCTCCTCCTCCTCCTCCTCCTTCTTCTTCTTCTTCTTCTTCTTCTTCTTCTTCTTCTTCTTCTTCTTCTTCTTCTTCTTCTTCTCCTCCTCCTCCTCCTTCTTCTTCTTCTCCTCTTCTTCTTCTTCTCCTCCTCCTTCTTCTTCCTCTTCCTCTTCTTCTTCTTCTTCAATTTTTTTTTGTTTTGTTTGTTAATTTTTTGGTTCTGCTGCCGCGTTTGAACTTCTTGCATCCCCTCCCTTCCTCGCCACCTTTTCTTTTTTTTCTTTTTTCTTTTTCCGTCAAGGGCTAACCTCTAGCGTTATGGAATCCACCCTGGACTCAAACTCATGTTCTGTGTATTAATAATTAATAATTACATGTGTGTACCATTCATTCACATGGACGAGGACCCTCTTTAGAATATAATTTTTATTTTTTATTATTTTTTATTTTTTTCCAAAAAGGCTTGAAAAAGCAACAATGCCCCTTCTATTCTGGGGGCAACAGTCCGGCTGCTTATCACGGGCAAGCATGTTCTTACAACCGAAAAAGGGGAGAAGAGATGAGAAAGGGGGGCCAGTGTAACCGTTGTGGAACTAGCCATTCATATTCGTCTTTTCTTTCTTCTTTTTTGATTCCTTTCCTAGCTGTCGCTAGAGTGCTGCGAGGGTTCATAACAAATGAATTTTGGCTTGTGCTGGCAGGCCGCTACTGGCCGAGTGGTTAACCACCGCAACTTTCAGAGGTAAAGGTGGTTTAAGAACACTGTTGCCTGCCTCATTAGCATGGGTTCTTCTGTTCTGGGTAGTAGTAGTCCAGTTGCTTTCCTTTGGTAAATGAGAAATGCGCATAGCAAAACAACCATGGATGACAACAAAATTGAACAACTTGTTACAACTAGATAAATAATATCTCCCCTCAGGGTAGTTTTGGCGACGGTCAGCAGCCCTCCCAGTCAGCTGCCAACCTGCTGACCATCCTACCTGTCGGCACCGAGCAGCAGTAGGCACCCCATTGGCCCTCCAAAAACAAAGGCGGAGTCTGGGACTGGTTGTACTCCTCAGATTTTGGATTGTTTGCTGTTGTATTCTTGTGTTATCGAACTGTGTGGTTTTTGTCTTTACCATTCTGCTTTACCCTTCTTTTTTGCCCCTCATCTGTACCCCAACCACCTTCCAACCACCCCCCAACCACCCGCCAAACGCTTCCCAACTACCCCCTAAAACGTGCCCCAACCACCACCACCCAACCTTCTCCAGCCACTCCCCAACCACCCCTCAACAACCCCCGCTAACCACCCCCCGGCTACCCCCAACTGCCCCCCATTCACCCCACAACTATCCCCAGCCAACCCCCAACCGCCCCCTCTAACCACCCCTCAGCTACCCCCAAAACGTGCCACAACCTCCCCCCAGACACCTCCCCAACACCCCCCAAACACCTCACAACCACCCACTACCCTTCCCCCCCCGCCCACACACACACACAAACCAAAACAACGAAACACAAATTCTAATGGGGATTCGAGCTGTTCTCTACAAGTGCAGAACAGCCCGCAACCCAAAAAAAAAAGAACAACAGAGGGCCCTCTGCCGACTGGTCGGCTGCTAAACCGTCGGCCATTGGCATCTGCGGCCAGCAGCCTGACAACCCCGCTTCCCCTAGTACAGGGAAAGCACATACAAAAGGACTTGTAAACCCTTGCCTCAGTTATGAGACTACTGTAGTCTGTCAAGATCTGTAAGCCCTTGCCCTTTGCAAGTGCATGGCTATTGTGACGAGGATTGATGTCATGGACATGAGCTTATTGTCCCTGAGGCTATGTCTCCTCCTGTGGTACCTAAGGTTGTTGACCCGACCACTGGGCAGGATGCAGGGGCTTCATCTCAGGAGGTGACTCACGAGGATTTTTTCAGGCCTATGTTATGATAAATGATTTAGATAGATATAAAATTATAAATGTACGATGTAGCCCTCCAATGGCTACTCCCTGCATGTCTCTCATCCTCTATTTGGGTTTTATCTTCATGGTCAGAGTCTTGCATCGGGTGCTTGAGTTTCTCCTTATGCATGTTGTGCTGCACTACACAAGCAAGGAAAGCAAACAAATTGTTGGTTTCACTTTCATAGCATCCAGGTCACATCAGGGCTTCCCAAAGACTCGTTATAGGGACTCTGCAGGCCTTGTGTCTGGCCTTTCCTCAGGGTCAGGTGGAGGTGATAGAACCGAACGCCTCACTCTAAGTCGATCGCCGCTGGCAGGAGGGGCTGCAGTCTTGCTTCGACAGGATGCCCTTGCTGTGAGCAGCACGGACAGACCTAGAAATGCACATACACATACATTGTCCTTCTTCTCAATCCTCCATTTTTGTAATCCTGCGTGACGGCCTACCAGTCCACCCAACCCTGCTGCATTCGGCCTTGCAGAGATAAGAAACGGACTGGGGACGGGGCGGGGGGTGCGACAACGGTCCCACTCCTCCCTAAATGCACAAGTTGACTTAGTCCTGAGGTAGCATAGCGGCGGCTGTGTCCAAATGATCCCCTGACTGACCCGGTCTTGGCTTATATACAGTCGTCAGGCCCTTCTTCGGCCAGTAGAGACTGCCTATGGGAATATTCCATCATCGGCCGAAACCTACCGGGCCCAGGCAGACTTCGTGGGTCCCTCCCCTGGGCCTACTGAGCCTGAACCTGATGGACCCAGGACCCAGGGCCTACTGGCCCTTTACTGCCTGTCTTGTGGCCCAGAGGCCTGACACTTCTAAAAATTTTGGTGTATTTTAAACATCGCAATCTTTGGAGTGTCAGTCTAAGACACCGACTTCGTTGGCAAATAAAAAATATGAGAAAATAATAAAATTAATAAATTATTAAAATATGATTTAAATATCAGATATCTACCTTTTCAGCAACAATACCTGATGCTTGAGAGAGTTGCGTACAAGCCTCAGCTGCAGAAGTCAA